TGTTGTACAGTCTCTGTACATCAGCTCATATCCTGTCTTGCATTACAGGCAAAATCCATTCTTTAATAATTTACCAGGAAATGAGGCTCATCAGGCCTTGTGTGGATGCAAACCTCATGAAACAATATACAATCTAGAAAACAACAAAACAGAAAGTTGATACAAGCTTAACAAAATAGCCTAAAACCATACTGTATTCAGATTAGAAGGAAAATGTTTGAAATAAAAATGTGATATGATGTGATATGATGTTATACATACATACTATATATATATAGGAATATAATATACTACTAGAATAATTTGTGCTGGGATTTTAAAAAGATCACAATATGGACAGAAATAAAGGAAGAGGACACTGTGGACAAAAGTCACAATGAAATTAGACATGGCTGACTGACTCATACAAAGATCAAGTTTGTCTTTGAGGTGTTAAAAGACATGGTGAGCTATCCCAGAATGCACTGCATAAGAGGTGGGGTAAACCCTGGACAGGAGCTGCTCAAAAGCCTGAACTGTTGTTCTACTTAATTTAGTTTATTGAGGCACAATGTCTTTAAAACAATAACAGATATAGAAATGCACACATAATTTAGCAAAATGAGATACAAATAGTGACCTCTTATGACGTAGTACAGTGGTTTCAAACTTTTTTCACATCAAGGACCCCTAAACTGACACAAAGTAGAGTAAAGATGTTTTATTACAGTGTATAAAAGAGTATAAAAAATAAAGAAATTACAATTTAAGAGTCCCAAAATGGCAATTTTCTCACTCAATTTATGTTCGCCTTTGTGGTGAACATAAATAGGTAATAGGTAATTTATTGATAGTAAAACACGCCACATTGATTGTTTGACTGTCACTTGGTGTTCCATTAAAGTATTTTACATCCCTCTTGAGAGTGGGATGAGGATGTAGCTTATCAACATCACCTCAGCTTAAATAGCCTAGTTATAAATCCAATGGTGTCGCAGCTACCTGATACATTACACATTTCAAAGAGAAGATTGGTTTAAATCTACATTTTATAACATGGACAACTTTTGTAAAAAAGAGAGCATCTGAAAATGAATTAAGAGGGCATCAGAATCAGAATCAGAATCGGGTTTATTGCCAAGTAGCTATACACATACAAGGAATTTGCCTTGGTATTTTGTTGCTGTCAATTAACATAGTAAACTAAACGAGGAATGTGATATGTACTGCATGCATTGTTGTGTGCACTTACAGCATACTGGGCCTCCTTCATATCTTTGCTAGAAGTGTGTGTTGTTTGAAGTGCTGCATGTCAACACTTAAAGCTTCCACCCTTATCATGAAAGAGCCAGATATCCCTCAGCGTATAGACTGGGTGGATGTTATTCCGAACTGGGGTTTACACAGTATTTGAATCTCTCCACAACTTCAGCGATGGAGATTTGCTTTTTATTTTCAACATTTTAGGGATTTAGCTGTTCCTTTATCTCATGCAACAGAGTGGAATGAGTTCAAAGGAGAAGCGTGCAGGATTTAGTGGCATCTAGCGGTGAAGTTGCAGATTGAAACTAACTGAACACGTGAGAACACTGAGAACGGGCTGTGAAGAGTCTAGGAGAAACTAGTTTGGTTTTCCTTTTCTAAGCTACTGCAGGAACATGGCGGTTCAACATGGCAGCCTCCATGGAAGGCGACCCCTGGCGTCGGTAGATAAAAACAGCTCATTGTGACAAAAACACGATTCCTATATCCAGGTGATTATACACTAATGAAAACATATCTATGAATATTATATATATTCTCCTAAATGTTACATACTGGACCTTTAAGTTGCTTAATAACTGACTCTGCAGACAACAAATAGTTGTCAGTTGACAATTGTAGTTGACAGAGCAATGTGGAGAAAAGCTGGTAAAAACTGTCAGTAAATGTTTGACATTGCTTCAAATCTTTTCTAGAGTGTGTGTGTATGTGTGTTTGTGTGCATGCTGATAGGGGGCTCTGATGTCCTCCTATCAGTCTGTATCATTTCAAGAGTGCTAATGTTGCAAGTTGGAATAGTTTATGTGAC